ATATATGTGATAAGTTAAATGATAATACAAATAATGAAATAAAATAAAAAGATAAGATATATATTCTAAAAAGAAAAAATAAATGATAAAAATAAATAAAATTTATTATTGAATCATTTTTAAAGCATTTCTGAACTATTATTGAACTATTTGTGAACTGTTGTTGATTTTGGGGCTAATTATTCATTGATAATTCTAGAATATTGCAAAAATATTGTTGAATCATGATTAAATCTATAGTTGATACACTAATTATATTATTCAAAATCATATATCTTCTAAAGATCAATTGGTTGGTCAAATTTTCCAAGTTTAAAAAATTATGAAATTAAAGAAATTTATGTTACTACGGCTATGATAATAATAGATATAGATCTTTGCTGATAAAACTTTTTTAAATATGATATAAATTATCAAGAATATAAAGAAGACTGATATAGATATTCTAATTCAAGAATATCATTAATTTCAGACTTATAAATTCTTATATAAAAATAAAAAATAATTTTATAATAATAATTTTATTAAAATTTATAAATAAATACTTTTATATCTGATAAATAATTTAATTAATAACTTAAAATATATTAATTAGATAAAAATTACTAAAAATACTATAAAATTCTTATATAAAAAGACAAAAAATAATTATATAATAAAAAATAATAATATTTTTTAATTACTTTTATATCTGATAAATAATTTTATTTAATATTTAAATACAATTAATTCTTAAATATATAAGTATAGTATTATTATTTTTAAAATATTTTTTTATTTTTTATTTATTTTAAATTTTATATTATAAAATTATAATTTAATTGATTTAATTTCAGTTATATATTATATTATATTCATTCTGATTTATATAATATAGTACTATTATCTGTATTAATAAATATTTTTTTTTAAAAAGTTTTATTTGAAATATTATATTTTATACTTTTATTAAATAAAATATTAATTTAATTTATATATTTTTAAAATATAAGTTAAAGATAAAAAATAATTAAATTACTAAAAAATAAAGAAAAAGAATATAAAATATTAATAAAATAATTATTAAAGATAAAAAAATAATTGATATTAAAAAATAAATTATTAAGTTAAATATAAATATTAATTTCTTCTTGAATAATTATTTATAATATTTCTTATAATAATTAATTTATTTAGATTTTAAACTGAAAAATTATTGTTTAGAATTAATTTATCAAATTATAAAATAAAAGATTATATATTAAATATAATGACTATTAATTTATTATTTAATTTCATATTAATAGTTATTATTTCAAAATAAATATTTTTATATAAAAAATATACTTCTGTTTTTAATATTATATTACTAATTTTTCTTTATAACTTCTTTTTTATTATTTTATTTCTCTATATTCTTTCAATATTTTTTATATTTTATTCTCTATTTTATTATTCTTTATTATTTTCTTTTTCTTATTTTTATTATATCTTAGATTTTTTCTTTATATCAATTGATATTGACAGATATTTCTTGAAATACGAATTATAAAATAAAGTTTCAGATTTGGAATCATTTAATAAAGAGTTTTGGATAATTTTCAATTTTTTTACTTTTGCAGATAACTGTGTTTTTACCATCATCTTCAATCTGAATATTTATTATGGAATTTACAATGCAGATTATTGAATCAATTGGTATATTCTTTTATAATCCATATTTTTATCCAATTTATCCTTTTTGACACTATGTACTATTATAAATTCAAACATTTATTGTATTCGATAATGAGAAAGAGCACCATACTAATATTAATATTCAAATAATTGCTGTAGTTAGCGGTTTTAATTTTTTTATCAAATATTTAAATAAAATGGACAAGAAATTTATGGTCAAAATTTCCTTCGGGAAACAAGTGAGTATAGATGATTGGAAACGATCAAAACACAAATCTCTATGAACAGCAACGAATGTCAAGGCTTCCAAATAGCATCCAAATCATCCTCAGTTATTTCTCTATCGCTTTCTTCAACTGTAATAGAAATAGAAATTATATATTAATTAATACAATGAAGATTCCACCCATGCTGAATCAAATTAATTCCTACCTTTTTCATAAATGACATCTATATCCGATATTTTTTCGGTTTTTCTTAATTGCACAATGAAAGCTGAATGCGGTAGCTGAGAATGATCAGGTCGACATATCCAAACGTTTTCATCTTCATGCTCCGGAGGTGAACCATCGACATAATCTTTCCCATTATTAGTATTTTCGTAATTGTCATCATCTTCAACTTTCTTAAGATTTCCTGATTTGGGTTTTATCTTGTCAGGTTGCTTGTCGTGTTTATTTGCTTTGACAACAGTTGGTCGAATGTCCCAATTTTTCCAGGTCGCTTCGATAATCTTTCCCGTGCTAAGTTCGTACCCTTTTGTCTTGATTTCCATCAATAATTTCAGAACTTGCGTCATATTTGGCAAACAACACACAATAAAACGATCATTTTCTAACCAATTTAGAATTGCAGGTAATTCTTTCTCTGGTTCAGCCATGTCCAATGCTACCCCATCATATTTTGGAGAATCCGGAGGCAAAGAATTGAGCACCTGCGAGACAGTTCCCTCGGAAAAAGTGACATATGGAGAATACATTCCACGACAATATTTTGCGATGTTAAGTTTCGCTCTCTTTAGATATTTAGGCTCTTTATCGATCGAATGTATACTTCCAGCTGGGTATAAGGCACGTGCAAGGTAAAGAGTCAAAGAACCATTTCCTGAGCCAGCCTCAAGAATATACGAATATGGACGTAGATCTAAAAGTGATATCTACATGGAGTTTAGATATTCAGAATGAAATAAATTATTGAAATCCAATTTAAACACAAACCATTGCGGCTGCCTAGTAAATGAAAGAAAACAAAGGTAAATAAAAGCTTCAGGTTAAAATATTATTTTTATTCGGAAATTCTTACGTCTTTTGTATAGATAGGTGTGGTGTGTCGACGCATCAATAAAGTGTATCTAAAATGTCACGCGCATAAGTTTGGAATTAAAATAACGATAAGTACATGTATATATATATATACATATGCTAGTAAAGGTTAAAATATGTACTCACTCATCCAATGTAGGTACTTGAACCAAAAAACCTTTACCTTTAATTCGTTTAGAAAATATATATTAATTTAGTTTAAAACCAGGAAAATCGCAACACATTTTTAACACTATACCAATATGTGTCCTGAGTAACGACCGGGATTTTTGTCCAATAATTTGATTATGCGTTAAAATTCCTTCATGATTTGAGATCACTACACCGGGAGTTAACGGACCCACCAATCTGACATTTTCTGCACGACGACCTCTCCTCACTGGATCACGTACGATTACCATGTCACCAGCTTGAAACACTGAAAAATCCAGAAATTCCTCCTGGCTTAAAGTATGTTCTTCCCCTGTTTCCTGCTCATTATTCGAATTTTTTCCGACATTCTCTCTTGATTGTTGTTCGTGGTCTGCGTTTTTACTGATAGTTGCTTCTGTTGATTTTTGCTCTTCATTCTGGCTGATTTTTTCATTATCTGTTGTATTTCCTTCCTGATGAATAATTTCTTGATCAAACAAAATTTCTTCACCAATTCCTTTTGAATGTGAAAGCTTGTTTACTTCGTTTTCAGACGTGAAACCTCGGGAAATATTCAAACGTAACTTATTCTGTAATATTAATTGTCGATTTCCCAATAAATGATCAAATCGAAAAGATTTATTCCTATAGTTATAAGCTATGGATGGCCACAAATTTGAAATTTTCAAAAACGATTTATCGCGACATAACGAAACTGATTTCATAATAGACATGATAAAATTTTTTTGTGAAAGTCAATCTGACTCACACTATGGTATATACACATGTATCATGGCGATCAGATTACATGTATTGCAAAATGGAAGGCAACATTTAAATTACATCACTAACGTTACGTTATAGCGACAGTTTTTTTAATTTGAATTAAAAGAAAAATATTAGCTCTGTTGGCGTTAGCAGAACATGTATAAACCGGTCAATTGTCTACTGTTACCGATACGAATACCGGATTCTCTGAATGGTACGATTCTTTAGAAATTACGTGAAGTAAATCAGTAATTAGTAATTTCAACCTGCTTATACATGTAATAAATATACAAAACTTTAATTAAAGCATGTACATGTATACATGTGCATGTAAATGGCGTGAATTCCCGGCATGTTAGAAATAGATTTCTATGCATAAGTTCACGAGTTTTCTCGAGGGGGGCTAAATATATCACACCTCTTTTAGTTGGTCGCACAGGAAAGTTGTAACGGTAACGGTAAGAGTCCCCCATACTGACTGTATTGGTAACGACTTGCATGATACTAAACTTTTTTTGGTAGAATTTGTAGCGACTTTCGTCTGCATAACCTAAAATATTGTAATAAAAGAAATAAATGCGTAAACAATGAGAATTTGGTATCCTGTTTACTACTCACATCATGTCCTACATGTAACGTTACGGGTTATCGTATGTTTATCTTTTCTCCTTTTTTCCCCCATCCTTTACTTGCTTCTGAGTGTATTTGATAGAAGATTCCAAAACGAGTTTCATTTCTTTTTCACTTTTTTGAATGATAAATAAATTCACTTTTTGCATTTAATTTTAATTCTTAGCGTTAATAAATAAAATGTTGAGCCGTTCTCTACCAACTAGTATTAGCAACAAGTCCGCTCTCCCACATAATATTCACAATAGCAACAACACCAGCGTTAGTAATAATAACGAGAATAGCATCATGACCAAAAGTCGAAACTCCATGGCTACATTGCAACAGAATGACTATGAGCGCGAAGAAAATCACAGAATTCGATTATCCAGACCTAGAACCTTTGCAGATTATTCAAGTTCCGAAAACTTCAAATTCACCAATAATAACAACAACGACGATGATGATGATAATAATCATAACAATGATAATAATAAACAAAAAAAGAAATTTGCCCGATACACAATGCACGGAAGTTTAAAATTCGAAAACCTCTATCGACAAAACGAAAGTAGCGAAGAGGAAGAGATGAACATAAAAGGAAAATTTAAATCAATGTTCCAAATATCACGTTCTTTACCAAACGAGAAAAAATTTTCATCACCTATCCGAGGACCGAAATCTTGGCACCCCGCACAACGTCATGGAATACACGCTATGAAAGACGGACATTACGACCAAGCTGTTATATATTTTACTAGAGTGTTGGAGCAATATCCTGATAGCTATAGTACTCAATGCGATCGGGCAACAGCTTTCATGAAACTCGGGTATTACGATCGAGCCTTACAAGATTTGGATTTAGCTTTTCTACGAAAACCCAATAAATCACGCGGCTGGTGTCTAAGGGGTGAAGCGCATTATCATCAGAAACGATACGAAGAAGCATTAATTGATTTGGGTCACGCATTGCGTTTGGAACCTGAAAATTATGAGGCTTTACACTCACGTGCTAAAGTTTTACAAAAATTAGGTCGATACCATAATGGAATCGAAGATTTGTATAGGGTGATAAAAGCTCATCCGAAAAATGCATCAGCATTACAACTACGTGGCGAAATTTACTGTCTCGCTAAACAATATCTTGAAGCAATTCCGGATTTAACTAGAGCATTACTATACGGGCAAGATGATCATATATCAATTTTGAGAACGCGCGGCAACGCTTATCGAGAACTTCACCGTTTAGATGAAGCATTACATGACTTTGATAAAATATTAAAAGAAGTACCGGATCACGTAGAGACATTAATTCAAAGAGCTGAAATTTTTAACTTAATGCGTGATCACGAAAATTGTTTAAGCGATTTAACGCGAGCCATACAGTTAGAACCACAAAATGTTTTAGCATATACTAAACGTGGATTATTAAACCTCCAAATGCGACAATATGATAGAGCTCTTTGGGATTTGAATACTGCCATAGAAATTAATCCAAATGATCCATACTCATTAAGTGTTCGAGGTGATGTTTATCTTGAGATTGGACTTTATAAATCTGCTCTGGTGGACCTAAATAAATGCTTGGAACTTGACCCATCAGACTCCATTCGTACTTCTGTTATGATAAGTCGTGCGTCTGTTTACCGAAAATTAGACCGATGCGAAGAAGCGTTGGTCGACTTAAACAAAATATTGGAAAAAGATCAAAATAATTTCGAAGCTCTTGCAATTCGAGGCGACGTTTATAATCGACAGCAAGAGTATAACAAAGCATTGATAGATCTCGAAGTAGCTCTTAAACTTAAGCCCAATGACCCTGATGCATTGAGATCTCGGGGCGAAAATTACGCAATAGTAGGACGAAATCAAGAAGCGCTTCTTGATTTTGAAAAATCTTTGGAAATTGTACCAGACGACGCATGGACATTATTATTACGAGCTCAAATATATAATCGTCTTGAAAGATATAATGACGCAATCAAGGATCTCGACCAAGCATTACAAATTTCTCCCGAGCAATGGTATCCATTAGTGATCCGTGGTGCTGTTCTTCGTTCCATGAAACGTTATAACGGTGCACTTGCGGATCTTGACCAAGCATTAACTTACTCCCCAAATGATGCAATTGGTAGACAATTCCAAACACAGGCATTTGCCAATCGTGGTGCCGTGTCGAGGATTATGGGAAGATACGATAAAGCAATGCACGATTTGAATAGAGCTTTAAGTCGTGAGCCAAATGACGCATTTACATTAAGCCAAAGAGGAGCTGTATTTCGAGCAATGGGCCGTTATGCCGAGGCGTTGGCTGATCTAGAGAAATCAATAAGTTTGGATCCACAAAATACATTTGCCATCGCCGAACGACAAAAGGTTAACCGTGTTACCCAACGTCAGCCCACGAGACTTTCCTATTCTAACTAAATTATTCTAAATTATATATATACAAACATTTTACTTGGCATGTTTTTTAACGAAGTGGCTGGGACTCAAGAAAATTCACTTTAAAATCCGTTATATCAAATTTCTGGTCCGTAATATGCAATTTAATTAATTACATGTACATGTTGTTGTAACAAGGTTCGACTGAACATACCGATACGTACACATAAATAATTTTGTACCATATTTTGTACCATATTAAATTGTACGTGTATAATGTATAAAGCTTTTGTTTTACACTTACGTATTATTTTTGGTGGTTAGTCATCAAAACAAAGTTTTTATATTTTTCTAATCATCGAAGCTAAAAATAATAAATGTGATGATGAAACGTGTTCTCGGCTTGCTTAGTCGTTCTGGTACGCTATATAGAATTGTTCTACATGTAAATAAAATTCATGTTGGTACGAGCAGAAATTATATCCTAAGAATAGCTGGCAATTAGGTTTTTGGACATTACCATGGAGCACTACTTTTAAGATTGGCACCATTCACATCAACAATATGTAACTTTTCTTTGTGAACGCATTCAAATCTCCTTACTACACCGCCCCCATCCAACCAGGTTGTTTTATGAATTGTCCCAAAGCCTCTTTCTCTTTTGCAAATAGAACATTCTCTTACTTCGCTACGATCTTGCTTTAGGTTGTCAATATGAAATTCATTTGTGATATTTATGATATTTATAATTTACTTGTCAATGAATATATATTTATTCTGACACAGGTAAAATATACATGGGTGGATTTTGGAATTTCATGTGCGACAAAAAAAATTTATTTGTTGCAACGACAACAATATATTATAATTGCTGCTGTTGCAGTTGTTGCACTTGCAGCAGTTGCTGTCGTGACCGTTGTTGTTGTTGTTGTTGTTGTTGTTTGCATCTGATATTGTTGTAGCAGCAGATGCTGTATTATAGTAGTAGTTGTTGCTGCCGTTGTTGATGAAAATATGTAAGAGAAATGTTTAATGTCATTTTAAAAAATATATTTTATAGGAAGTCATCCTTCTCCGTTGAGTTTGTCATTTCTTTGAAAAGTCGTAGCTTCATAAATTTCATTCATTTTTTATGAATCGAACGTCATAATTTAAGCTATATGTTTTTAAAGCTAGGGTAAGTAGAGTATGTATGCACCACTAGAGTAAGAGTAAAAAATTAGTTATTCCCACCACGTTTAATGATATTTTTAATATTTATCGTGATTCGTGCGGATTTCGTTTGTCAAGGTTGTACAAGATCCCCGATGATTAGAAACCAGTGACAAAAAGATTGGTGATAATCTTTGCATCATTGATTGTCGTTCAGTTGAGGAACATGCTGAAAGAAGTGAAAACAGGGGTAGAACATGCAGATTTTCTTGTTATTTTGGAAGACGTTGGTTGGTATTGAATAAAATTACTTACTGTTGTGTATTTATTATTGATACAATTCATATTCAGTATAATTAACATTTAGGAATATTAAAGTCCGATCTGGAATCGATTCTTCGAATATATGAAACAAAAATAAGACTTAAAATGACTATATCAAATGCCAATGTTGTATTGCTATGTGTACTGCGATCCTTAGAGTATCGATATGTCATTATGTGTAATATGTGTTCGCATCAACATGGCATGTTACATAATATCCCTTACATCCTAGAAATTTTCCTGAACCTAAAAACCATCAGTTTCAGTTAAAAAGAATGTTCTGGATTCATGTATACCATTATTAAATTTAGTGTTTGTTGAGAAATCCCGTGATTACGAGAATTCTGGAACTATGAGAGAATATCGTAGTCTAATATCCCTAATTGGTGATGTTTCACGAAATACATTAACGAAATTCTTACAAAAATTTTATCCTTGCAGGCATCAACTTTGATACCGCTTCGCAAATTTTTTACAGAAATTATTACTTTACGTTCCCAAGAATGTGAATATCATTGGAAATTCTTACAACCTTCGTATCGTACGTTATTCTCTTTGATCCATAGAGATTCTTACAAAATTTGTATCAAATTCACATTTTGTATCATATGGGTCAGTGCAAAAAGATTTGTACCTCAATATAAAAATCAATAATTGCTTCTAATAAAAATCATTCAAATTTTAACTAATCTTTATAATTTTTTTATATTA